TTATTCGGTTTGCTAAAATTTCGGTTTTCAATAAACAGCACCCGATCGGTTTATCTAAAAACTGGAAATCGATAATTTCAGTTACGGTTTATTTATTTTGGTTTTTGGTTTAAACCGAGAAAACCGAAGCTCTCCTGCCTCCGCTCCAGCTCGATGCTCGGTGTCGGTGCTCGCGGATCCCGCCGGTGCTCCTGCTCGGTGCTTGCGGATCCTGCTCGACGCTCGCAGATCCTGTCGCCGGCGCTCCTGCTCGCAGATCCCGTCGTCGACGCTCCTCCTCTCAAATCCCGCCGCCAGCAGGGGCCGAGCTACAGGGTGGTCCGAGTGGTCCACGGACCACCATGTGCTCGGCCCCATACAAAGCCCATAGATACAAGAAGTTTGGATCCTGAGCAGCCAAACATCGAATACATCGGAGCGTCTACGGCCTTTCGCCAATACGCGTCGTGCGACCCTTCGCGAATACGGCCGGTCTACACCCCTTCGTATCCCTTGCTGTGTTGTGCGGACGTGCTGCGGTGGCGGGCCGGCGGCAGGCGCCGGACGATGAGCGACCAGAGGCTGTGAGCAACAGCAGATGGAAATGCAGGTACGTCTCCGGTCTCCAATTAGCCTGCTCGTTTAGTCAGGTTTGTTTTTTTTTCCTCCCAATCTCTCCCAGTCTGAAGGAACGCAGAACGCCCTAGCTCGTGCAAAAAACCTTATTTTATTTTGTGTCATTAGATTACATTATTGGAGTGCACGGTAACATTGGACTATTTAATTTTAATTGTAGGATATGATTTTTTCCTGTCAATTGGTTATTGGAATAGTAAATTGAAACAATATTTTATTCTCTTGCAGACATTGAAATATGAAGAGGAGCGGTGATATTGCCTCTCTTCTTCAAAAAATAATTAAGATGGGTGATAGCCTCCTAGATGATTGTCTAGTGACTTTTATTGAGCGGGATATCTTCTTACAATTGAGTGATAGAGATCATCCACACTTTCATGGCTATTGGAAGGCGCAGGCCTGACAAGAAGTGCCGTATTGTTCTTCAACTATTACAGGCATGTAATATGAACTCTGTATGTCCTCTTTTTCTTTAGTTGCGTTTTGCAATTCATGTACTTCATCTACCAACATGTTAAGTTTATAGTGGTTAAAAAATTTAGACAATGGATCACCATAGCTATAAATCCTGGCTACGCCGCTGCCCGCCAGCGCTCCTCTCAGATCCCGTCGCCGCCGTTGCTCCTGCACGCAGACCCCGCCGCCGCGCCGGTTGCCCACTCCGGCCCTCGCAGCAGCCGCCACGCCACTAGCTGTTCCGCATGCTCCCCGGCACAAGACGCTAAGAGCTGCACCGCCGCAGGGTAGAAGATAGGGTTTGGAGTCAGGTGTCTCGCCTCTCGCGTGCGCCTTGGCTCGCCCCTCGGGTGTCTCGCTCTTGTGGCTCGCGTGCGGACGTGTGTGGTGGTGTCCGGAGGGTCGGGAGGGCCATGGAGGAGTGGCCGGGTGGGCCTGTTAACTGGGCCAAGGTGCGCTGACGAGTGGGAGTCAGACGAATGTTCGGCTTCTTCGGTTTTACAGTTCGGTTTAGTGTACAGACCGAACACCGAGCCAAAAACCGTAGTTTCCAAAATCAGAAACCGAAGCCAAATCAAAAAAACCGAAAAACCGACAGTTCGGTTCGGGCGGTTTTTGGTTTTCGGTCTAAATGTGCCCACCCTGAGCGCAGGACCTTGGAGTGTGTAAATCAATCGGCCATGTGCAGTGGTGCTTGTGGTCGGAGGCCATCGCCGATTGGAGATTATTGGCTCAACCTGCTGTGCCTGAGGCAAAGCTCCATTCGATGAAGTGCCAGTAGATGGACGCTGCCGCACGATTCATGACGGAAAAGGGAAAGAAATGTGATGATAAGACAATTGCTGACATGCAACAAAAATCTGGGGATTATCAACAGGGACGCGGCAGCACACATGTCGGAGGAGCTCAGGAGGGGATGCATGATCAGAATCAAAGTTGAGGAGAGCAATCTGCACCTGGTATGGTGGTGGCTTCTACTCGGTGGATTGCTTTTTAAAAAGTCTACACAATGGAAGATCAATAAGTGTCGTCAATCGTCATGCATGCACACAATTCAATTAGACTTCACACAACCAGAATTTTAGACTTATTCCAGTGAGGTGGGTTTCTCTTAGTGTTTTAGCATTCAAAATTTAGTATAAATTTTTCTTACTAAATGCTTCCTAGTGGTAGTGTTTTATTACTATTTAAAAACACTAGGAGAAGTCCATCATTTTAGCAGTGTCAATGCTTTCTCCGACCTTTGGATTTCTTTGTTTATGGTGTCATGTGGGGAAGGTTACTATGCCATGATGCATAATTAAGTGCAATGTACGTGCATGACATGTTGGAAGATGAAATGAAAAGCTGCACAAATAGGGGCAGCATGCGTGCATTAGTTGCTGAATGATGAAATAAAAAGCTGCACTAAGGGGTGACATGACTTTATGAACATGAAGATAAATCTGAAGTGGAACTAACGGTTAGGATGGAGGTGGCAACTTAGGATCGGATGGTTGAAATCATGGTGATGATGTGGCACAACGTGGAAGCAGAGAAATTGTATTAGTGGGGTTTAACTTTATAAGAGATATAAATATAGATATAGATTACTACCCCACTTGTCTATATTTAGGTGCCTGATTTTTCTATTATTGTTTAAGGAATATCTAATTTTATTGTTTGACTACAGACAAATTATGAACTCTCTCTTATAACTTGTCCTTTTAATTACATACTATTTGGTAGTCTAAGATTGTTGACTCAAAATTCAGCGACTTAAAATATAGCAACTCTCTTGCTCCTCTATTCCACATTATAAGCTGTTTTGGCTGCCAAATCTTTGGCTTGCAAACAGTATGTAATGTATTTGTGGTGCACTTGCATTGTTGGAGCCAGATGGACTGCAAAGATAAGATAATTGGAAACGTAGTATAACATTCCGTTGTAGTCTAGCTGGTTAGGATACTCGGCTCTCACCCGAGAGACCCGGGTTCGAGTCCCGGCAACGGAATATTTTTTTGAATTGCTTTTCTGATTTTTTTTTCCTCAACTAAAAAGGTGTCTTGATATACCAATCGATCCAAGTCATAACAGGCAATTCCATATTGTTTTTCTTTTTCAATCAGCAGAAAAGCTATTCTATATTATGATTCTTTTTTATCGACAGAAACGCTATTCCATACTAGGTTTCTTTTCCAAACTTAAAATAGCTGTAATTTGCCCAAGCTACGAATTAATCTGCAGTCGCAATGTTTTTTGTTAGCAGAAAAGCTATTCTATATTATGTTTCTAGCGAACTTGAAATAGAAATTTACACTGCGAGTGCGAAACACAGCTGTGGCGTCCTCATACAAACCTTAATCTTGGATGGATCCAATCCAAAGAGCATTTGACACAGCACATTATTCAGAGCTCCTCTGCAGCCAAGGCTTCCAAGCAGCACAGATTTTTGTTTCTACACTGCCTACTGGGATCTCTAGCGGATAAATCATCCACGGACGAACTTTGATGTCCTACCGTCTCCCGAAATGATAACAAGACGTTCCCCCATTTTTCCTAGGAAGAGTGACAATATATTAACTATTAGCAAAAATATGCCGGTGCGGTGTACCAGGATATATAATTTATTTTTCAGCAGCACTTGTATTAATGACAAACATGTCGTGCGTGCATCGTAAGGGGACGTACTATTGCGTGGTAACATAAAGCTATTGGCCCCGTTCGCTTCGCTGAAAAATCATAGCTGAAAGTACTGTTCGCTGAGTTGTTGTGAGAAAAAAAAAACATTATTTCTTCGCTAAAACAGTACGGCTCATAAGACAAGCGAACATGACCATTAGCTATCTTTGTCTAGTTTAATTGGACCAACCTTTATTGCAATTAGATATCAAGACCTATATTAAATGGAGGTGCAATTAAGTATTAACCCCACATGAGTAGAGAATTAGAGATTGACTCCACGTCAGGCCTGTAATATGTTCTTGACCAGAGGCTCAGTTGTATTGTTTTTTCTAAAAGAACAGAAAAGGAACGAAACAAAGAAATTCTACCTTTCTTTCCTCTTTATTAGATTTCTAAAAATGGGTGGAGAGAAATTTTGCCACTTTAATATTAGTTATAGATATAGATAGAGAGAGGATAGAGATTTATTTGTATTTGAATTAAGATTCATATGCAACTGAACGGAAGGAAAAAAAAAGAAAATTAGAACCGAAAAAGTGGTGCTCAGGGCCCTAAGATTGTTGACTGAAAATTCAGCCACTTAAAATATAGCAACTCTCTTGCTCCTCTATTCCAGATTATAAGTTGTTTTGGCTGCCAAATCTTTGGCTTGGAACAAACAGCATGTAATGTATTTGCGGTGCACTCGCATTGGTGGAGCCAGATGGACTGGAAATTATCAGACAAAAGGTAATGCTTGGAAACGTAGAACAACATTCCGTTGTAGTATAGCTGGTTAGGATACAAGGCTCTCAGCCGTGGAGACCCGGTTTCGAGTCCTGGCAACGGAATAACCGTTTTATGGTCTTTCAATTCAAACCTTTTTTTATGAACAATTAAATTAACAATGCCAGTCGTGGGCCAACGAACAATACAGAAGCTCAATAAAGGCCCAAACTGTGCCTTCCCTTCCATATACTGTCATGCACAAGGCCGCCGCAGCTGGGGGTGGGGAAACTTGGAAATATTCAGGGAAGAGAACCATACACAGGTTCAGTTCAGTCACGCGTTTGCTCCAACAATACAAAAACGTTACAGAACATGTAAAATGAAAAAAAAAAACAATAGACACTTCCATTGATTCTTCTGCGTTCCAACACGAAAGCTGGCATGGATCACAAGCATGGCCTTGCATTTACCAGCTCTATCAGAATCCATGCCGCAGTCTCCGCACAAGCCCAAACCGCAATCAAGCCTTATAGTTTAATGAAATGTCACGGAACTGACTAGAGTTCCTCAAATCCTTCTTCGTCAGCGTCCTCCTCTATTCTTTCAAATTGAATCTGGAAGCTCTCCATCTACCAATGCCAGGAAAAGGAAAATCAAACGACTGTTCAAAGTGCAGCAAGAGAAGATTACTGGCCCTGCATTATGTCAAACCTAAGGATGATATCACTAGAAGGATTTGTTAGAAAGATACTTGGTAAGGTTCTAATGATATTTACTGTCATATGAAACTACAAATTATGACAGGTGGTGAGCAGCAGCAATCCAGATCTTCCTTCAGGCCATGGATACGGCAACAAGTTGCTATTTCTCAGTTAGCAATCTACTGCAGGTTCCCTCGCCTAAAAAAAAAAAAAAAATAAATAAAACTGGAGGCTCATTAATAAATTTCACTTTTCTAGATAGGTTTCACATGTGAGTGTGTTTTCTTTTCTAGGGACAGACTTGATGTAAGGACGTGTTGGCTATCCAACTACACAAAAGATTACAACTGGATAGTGAGGGAAAAGGTCTTGACATTTAAAAGGCCACTAGGAACTAGCTAGCAATGACAGCCTACCAGAAATCCCAGCTGGGGCCTGGGGGTCAGATTTATAATCATATTTCCTGACAGAGCTGTCACCATACGGAGCAGTGAGTGACCTACTAACATTAGTGGACTGGGTTTTTGACAAAACTTTTAGTATCTGTACCGTTTCCTCTTACAGTCCAAATCGCTTCAAATCAACAAACAATGGACCTCAATGATTTATTTACAAGTATGTGTTTTTTTATGCAAGGATACTTATGTATTGTTGGTAATATATTTCATACAGAAACGATGGTGATAAATAAACATAGGGCATCAAAGGTAAAACCCGTACTTTTTTGTCTGGCACATCGCAAAGAAATTACAGACAGTTCTATACAGATGTCAGATTGACATTTTAGGAAATATTTGAATTTAGATTTCATGGTGCCTACCAGAAATCAGTCAGAATTTGCTAACTGTCCCTCTACCAAGATATATTCTGACAAAGGAATTTGAAATCATGGCCATGATAATGATCCCAAGATCTTCTCAGATCATCTTCAAAATTACTGTAGAGAGAAAAGAAAAACAAGCAGAAGTTATTCATTGGCTCACCTGTCCATCTGAAAACCGCAGCTGTTCTGCAACAAAAAGCATTCTGCCACATTGTTCCCATGGAGTAGCTAGATCTAAGCCAATATCCTTTGCAACATTGTCATATTGCACAAAGCTGACTCGAAAGCCCTGATTAAAGAAAAGCTTTTCCAGATTCTCCTGTTCCAAACCCTGCAAAACAACATACAGGGGAGCTATTATTGACAGCCCATTTAAAAGATAATATGTGATTTTGACATATATATTTAATCAACCATGTCCATTGGTGCTGTACAGTCTGGAAAATGGGGCAGGTCTCCTATGAAGATACTTCCTTTCATTGCTAAATTGCTTATGACAAGCAAGAGATTTTCCAAACTTGTGGTTGTGGTCAGAGGTAAACCCTGCAATGCCAATAAAACTTAATTTTAGGAAAAGAAGACTATCAAGCTGTTGTTACTGACTGCACTAATATTCATATATACCATAACTGAACTGCTGTTGTGCTCAAGGCTAATGAAAACATTTGTAAATTTCACTTATTTAAATATGTTTTTCTGGATAGAATTGAATAAGATGATAAGGAAACGAATTGAAAATTTACCAAGCTTACAAGTTAAGCTAGTTACCTGCAGTACCCACAAGCTGAGCCTATTCCCATTGAAACCATTTTTGCTCAACCCCGCTTGTAAATCATGGGATTCCAAAGAAGTATGAAGCAAGACACAATTTCGCGACACTTTCGCTCCAGTTCCTGTGAACCATAAGAAACATAAATGCACATGAGTTCTTGGCAATCATTACCAAAGCTCTAAGTTTTCTTTAGAGAAGTAAGAAAATCGTTCATATGCCACTGAATAAGTTCATGCTCTAAAACATGCTACTCACTATGAGACCAATATGTTTTTGAATAAACAGTCCAATATGTCAGTGAGGCATAGCACAAGAAACTATTAGAGGTATACAGGGAATGAGCTTGTTACATTTTAATGGTTACTACCACATCTGTTTTTAAATAATTGACATTTGTGATGAAAAGCTATCTTTTTTCATTACTACATCTATTTTTTGAAGGATCGAAGAGCTTGACAAAATTTTTATATTTGAGGGCTCAAAATCCAGCCAACAAATTATTAGTAGTGCCTCAACTGACCAGACTAGATAGGTTCAGGCACTAATGGTGGCATATTGTGGAAAATAAATGGAAAATACATATGTTTTGATTGAACTATAGCATAAACATGGGTAAGGAAGCCCTATCATCTATTCTTCAAAACAAACGAAAAGAAGAAACTTGTGACTTTTTTTTTTGGGACAGAAGAAACTTGTGACTGATAAGTCTCTACTACACCTCTGAGCTGCTTAGTTGCTGCAGTGATTACTTTTCCTGGTGACACATCATATATAACAGACAACCTTGGCCAGTTCAGCCTGTACGGACGAGTGTCCATTCCATCTGTCAACAGAACAATCTATAAGGAATGAGGTAACATATTCCCAAACGGTTGGAAGGAAAGAGTTAAGCATAACATTTACTTAAATTTACCTGTCTAATATCTTCTGAATTATTGATCAAATTCTGTAATTTGTCATCAATATATCTGGTTGTGAGCCTATAATGATCTTGCCAAGGCATTCCATGTGAATCTAGATAACCCATATCATGATGTGCCACATCATGTGAAAGAAGAACGGCAGCATATGGATCGATGAAAAGAGGATCTGCAAGCATAACTTTGTTAAATTACATTACAACTAACATAGAACATATCTAAAGCTAAAGGAGCTTACTTTTTAGAGATTATTATCAAAGCTTTCCAAGGAAAAGAGTACAGCATAGTTCAAACAGTAGCGGATATGTCATCAACATTTGCCTCATGACTCATGAGAAACTTCAACATTTTCAATGTGATTAAATGACTAGAAAATGAAGACAAAGCACATGACAAAAGTTGCACTAAGCCATCTGAACACGTAAATATTCTGCTAATCAAGTTTGTACATCAGTTGTTATTAAGACATTCTCGACCTTAAAAAAACATAATAATGAGTTTTGTTCCCACAATTTTGCAACACCTTAAACCAACACATTGTGCTGCAACAGCAGAAAATGTGAAAACAGCAGTCTGACAACAAAATACAAATATCAATCTACCAGAAAATAAATAACAGGACAACAACAGAAGACAGCACTAACATAGACATGTTTGTATGTCTTCTCTGTTCAAGCTAAACCCTAAGCTGCCTCATTTGAGGCAAAAGAATCACAAAAATCCAGGACTCTAGTATCCACAGTGATATTGCAATAATATTACTAGTTTTTTACTTCCACCAGGTCATATATAACCTTCGAGCATATAACTGGATAATCTCCCAAAACATGTAACCCGACTTACTATCAAGTATTAAACCTGACCGCCAGATTGTTCCATTCCCTTATTAAATGAGTTCACACTGAAGAACAAAATAGCATGCAATGGTTTCGTCCTGCCCCAAGTGAAAGAAAATCGTGATTGCAGGTAGCACGTGATGAGCAATTATAGTTTATTTATCCACGATTCGTCGAACAGGTGGCGCGCAACAGTTCAGCAGTACTAACAAATCGGAAGGTCAACCAAAGCAACAACACGGGAAAAGTCGCCAGGTGTACCTGAGCGGCGAGACTCCTCGTCGCGGATGCGAGCGGCGCGGAGGGCGGTGAGGAGGAGCTGGTCGAGTTCCTCTGGCTCCGCGGGGCGCGCCGGCGTCGGTTGCCGAGGGCCGCAGCGGCGAGCACTTGCGGCTGTTCCAGGAGGAGGAGGAGCGTGGGGGACGTGGCGGCGGTGGCAGGTTCAGAGACCTGCGGCGTGCGGACGGGGCCGCCGGCGGCGGCGGCAGCGCGGCGAGCCTCAGCAGCGCGGGCATGTGCCGAGCCGACGTCACCTGCTGACGTGGGCGCGCCTTACAGTTTCTTCTCTGTATCCAGTTGCCGAGCAGGTGCAGCAGTAGCATTCGAACCATGGGAGCGTGGGTCCAGAATATGCGAAAGGAATTTGTCAGCTGGTTAACACAGTTTAGAGTTCGATTTTCAGTCTAAGGCCCTGTTTAGATTCTAAAAATTTTCACCTTAAAGTGTCATATCAAATCTTACGGCATATGCATGGAATACTAAATGTAGACGAAAAAAAACTAATTGCACAACTTTTGAACCTAATTAGTCCATAATTAAACACTAATTACCAAATACAAACGAAAGTGCTACAGTAGCCCAACAGTACCCAAACCTAAAAAATTTTAGGAACTAAACGCGCCCTAACCACGATGAATACTCAACGGCTTTAGTGTTATTGGTACGGTGTTGCTTTTCCTCGGTTCGATTTCGTTCAACACTAGGGCTATTCTAAAGATAATGCTTGGCCATTTGCGTTTGTCCAGTCTAAATACGGCTCATTCTCATCTACTCATCCGCTCTCTCTCTCTCTCTCAAAAAGAAATATATCCACCGCGCTCATCCGCTCGTCTCACGTGAGTGCGTCGACGCACATCGCCCGCCCAACTCCGTCCTGCCACGTCGCCTTCCACCGCCGCGCACTTGTCAGGCTGCCGCGTCATGCCCTTCCCCCCACCGCCCCGCGCCCCCACCGTCGGCCCGCGCTGCGTCACATCCCAGTCACTTGCGCCGCTCGCTCCCTCATCATCCGTTCGTCCGCATCGACGTCACGCGCGCCGCTGACCCCACCATGGCCACTGGAGCGCACGTGCCGTGGTGTGGCAGAACCGTCCGAAATAACACACCTTCGGAGGCGCTCGTCTTCCACCAGACACTAAGCACCCCGAAAGCGAGATACTTCGAGCAGTTCCGTCGAGCACACCCAAGAGAGAACTCGATTAGTCCACGTTTTTCCTCCAGGATCCAATAATGAGAATGAGTTTACAATACTTAGTCCATTTCATACAACCAGAGTTCTTAAAAATATATTATTACAGTACCAAGTTCAGAGTACAGAAATTAAACAGCGGGATTAAAATAAACATCTAACGGTAGAATACAAGGATCTGTCTGTGCCCACCAGAAGAATCCTCCACACAACAGCTACTCTTCAAGCTGCACCTGCAACATGGGTAAATAAATCCTGAGTACACAATGTACTCGCAAGACTTATCCGACTAGAGTAAATAATTTCTCGACTTTAAAGGGTATGATAAGCTTTATGGGTTACTGGATTTTCATTTTATGGAAAGCAATACTAGTAGTGAATCCTTATGTATGTTTCATATTAGCAGTCATGATTAGTTCATTATCTAACCATTTTAGGTAAGCACATATTCTACTTTTAAGCAAGAGTTGAGCAAACAGATCTATTTTATCATTTTTCATCTTCCAGTTCTTACTACGGTGCTAGATTGTAGACAAGTCATACCAGATTATCCGGTGATTCGTGAATCAATGTACCCATTTGGTACCCCAAAACACACGCCATGCTTGTACCCCAGCACAAAGCAAGACCAACCCACCACTCTCCTATCAAGGGGTCTAAGTCACCGTCCAAACTTGGACTCCAAACCCCCACTCCTGAGTCCCAGACTTAGTGTGGTGTTTAGATCCACCATCCCCGCCTTCAATCAATCAGTCCGAAAAGAGCCGGAATCCAAGACAAGAGAGCAACCAGCCTTCCCTGCTCCCATAAACAAATATGTGCTCGGGATAATAAGTCTGTGACCTAATTAGAATCCAATGCAACGGCCGATCCTTAACCGACACGAACAGGGAAACACAGTGTAACCAAGCTATGCCCATTGGCCATGGGACACAACCTCTTACACCCACCAATACCCATATCCATATCCCTACCCGATCTCTATTTTTCTTTCACCATTTTATCATAAGAGTGATAATAATAATCACCTATTGTGAGTAACGACAGGATACTCACGCTACCAAAAAGGCTAAGCATAGCAGCTACTCGACCTATGCTAGTAGAACTCATAGGTAGGTTATCTATGCATATAGTTTTCATAAAATGCCTGTAACATAAATGCACATCACATATATATATCCAGTGATCATTCAAAATAAGGGTTATGCACCGGGGCTTACCTTGGGCAGGCGTGGTGTCAGCAAAGTCAGCAGCTGGTGGCTCCGAGGCTCCCTTCTGGACGAGGATCTCCTCCTCGTACTCCTCCATTATCTCCTCATACTCCGGCTCGTCCGCGGTCATGAACTCTACCAATTCGTTATCTACATGCATGAAATAATGATGCAACACTTAGTAATACAGCAACAACAACTCTTAAAATAAAAATACATCTACCAAGCTACTAAGATAACTCTAATGACTAAGACGCTAAATTACCTATTATTCCCACTCACAGGTATGAAACCTTTCAAGTATTATCTTAGCAACTAAAGGCATCCTTATTTTTATTATCAATTTAATATATATACTAAAACAAGGAGTACTTAGCTACTATATTTCTCAACATATTTTAAGGCTACAAAAATTACAGTGAGCACATAATAATCTAATGAGCCTACTGTAAAAATTTCATGGCCAAAGCTATTACCAAATTGCCACCAAAATTCCTACAATTATTAATCTAAATAATATTAAACACTTTCAAATGATTTAATAGACCTTAGCATCAACACAGACATGTATAAACTAACCATACTATCAGGTAGACAACATTTTTAGGGACTCGACAGAATTTATTTCATAATTTTTGGATACTTATATGAATTGATATTAATTTCCAAAGTTCAACTTAGAATGTAAAATATAAAACTATTTCTATTTTCTAGAAAAATGAAAAACGAATTCAACCCGCGCGGCCCACTAACGAGCAGCGTGGCCCACACACGCGCGAAGGTGGCCCGCAGCGGAGGAGCCCACGCGCGCGCGCATGCAAACGTGCGGCGGCCCACGCGTGGAGGCGGCCCGCGGCGGGGAACCCCACGCGCGCTGGTACTTTTGCGAAAATGCCCCCACTCCATCTGCTATTCACATGACTACTATGCGGCCTATTCCTACAGTCAGCACTTAAGCAAAATAGCCCTCGCAACAACTCATCTTTACAGCGGCCAGATCCTCGACCGTCCCTACGCACGTCGGCGCGGCGGGCGGTGACACAAGGCGGTGCGCCGGCCACTCGAGACCCACGCCGACCCCACCAAAGAACCAAAACCACCTACGACCCTAACGCTAACCCAACGCGACGATACGGAGCCACGGGGTGAACCGGAGCGAGCTACCACCGCGCATGACCGCCCACGACGGCGACGCAGCCACCCCGGCGAGCTACAGCACTAACAGGGCGGCAGAGGTGGTGGCTAAGCACTAGTGACGCACTGTGAGTCTGCCCGAAGTGATGGTTGGGGCAGAGAGCAGCTGAGGGAAGCCGGCCACGTGCGGCCTTGCTTGGTGGCGGCGCACTGTGGTGACACGGTCGCGTCAGCGACGAAGGCCAGCCGGTAGCGACCGGGCTGAGGTGCGTGGGGCGAAGTAAAGAGCTAGGCAAAAGTAGTGGTACAACGAATTGGATAGTGGGCGAGTGGCGAGCGAGCTGTCCGCGCCCACGGCCAAGTGTGGCCTTAACGGCTCGTCGAGGCGGAAACGCCAAATTGGCGCTCGACCGGCCATCATTAAGGCTGTGGGTGGCTCAGGCGATGAGAGGACAAGAGAGCGCAGGTGCAGGCGTGCGGAATTAATGAGAGGTGCCTCTCGTGTCCCGGCATTGTCGCGGCGCAGCGGCGGCGGTACGGGAAAAACAGGGGACGTGGGCAGACGGGAGGCGGTGGGGCTCGGCCCAGGCTCATCCAGAGCGTGCTTGGCTGGACACGGTTGGCGCGACCGGCGCAGCCCGCGGCCAGGCACTAGTCGACAAACATGCACACATGCGACCGGCATGCCCCGCGCACCGCAGTGCCATCAATTGCGTGGCGACTGCATGCACGGCCATGTGCGATAGCATCAAGACGGCCAAAGTCGCAGCGCGATGCGAGAAGACGCGACAACAGCAGCAGCGCAGCAGCGCGACAACGGGATGGGACGCCCGTATGTCAGGGTGGCACGGCGGCCAGGGCACCGAGCCCGCGTGGCAGCAACAGAGCACCAGCGGGATGGGACGCCCGCGCGTCAGGGCGGCACAGCAACCAGGGCACCAGGCCCGCGTGGCAGCAGCACAAGCGCCTAGGCCGACCCACCATGGTGGCCGCCCGAGCACGGCAGAGTGCGCGCGCGGGGCGCCTAAGACGACGACGTCGTGTCCCAAAGACGCGGTGACCGCGCCCACGCAAGGAAACAGGGCGAGAACATGTTGTGCACGGTTTTTAAAGCGTTCAAAAAATCTAAACCGTTGATGCAATCCCCAAACCACCTTTGATATGCCTTAGAGGATATAATAAGCTACTAGAACAAACTATAATACCAAACCACTCCTTAACCTAATTTTTCAACAAAAATTACCAAACATAGCTTTGTCAAACTATTTTCAGACTCAAGAAATTGACCAAGTCTTGTGTTGGATTTGCTTCAAATTCTATTTTCAAGCTATTAGAAATGTTAGCTAGTGTTACCATTTTTCGACCGCGGGTATTTCATCGTTGTCTACAATGTTTCTACTTCAAACTTTATTCAAGTATCACATACATGTTCTATAGCATTTTGCTTAATAAAAATTGGTTTTAAACCCTAAGTGGCATAACATAACTATTGAATTAACTTTTATTCCGTATTTTCGTTGATCGTTTTGAGTTACGAAAGTTGATCTACACTCTTTATTACTTGCATTAACACATAAAAATGATGCTCATAACATGTTTTAGTAAATGATTTACAGTGTAACACCGAGGGTGTTACAAATCTATCCCCCTTAAACAAAATCTCGTCTCGAAATTTCATGTGCCTAGTGTGGAAAAAGACATAAGAAATATTTTTCAATGTAAACAACTACATCAGTGAACTAGAAAGAAGGTGGGGATAATGCTTCAAGATATAGCTTTCTTGCTCCCACGTTGCTTCGTCCTCCGAGTGATTTTACCACTGAACTTTATAGAACTTCACCGCACTATTTCTAGTCACTCTTTCTTTCTCATCTAAGATCTTGACAGGATGCTCAATATAAGACAAGTCGGGCTGGAGGGAAAGTCCTTCAATTTCCACAGCTTCATCGCGGACCCGCAAGCATTTCTTTAACTGGAAAACATACAAGACATTATGTACTGCTGATAAAATATTCGGAAGCTGGATACGATAGGCAGCAGAACCACACTAGGCCAAAATCTTGTAAGGCCCAACATAACGAGGGGCTAGCTTCCCACGAACACCAAATTGATGTACACCTCTCATGGGAGATACCTTAAGATACACATGATCACCAACTTCAAAGTGCAACGGCCTTCTTCGCTTGTCCGCGTAAGTTTTCTGACGACTTTGAGCTGCCTTCAAATGGCTCTGAATAATACTGACTTGTTCTCGAGCTTCTTTGATAAAATCAGGCCCAAAATATCCACGGTCACCTATTTCAACCCAGTTAAGTGGTGTCCTATATTTTCTTCCATACAGAGCTTCAAAGGGTGCCATACGAATACTTTCCTGATAGCTATTGCTGTAAGAAAACTCAGCTAAATTCAAACATTCATCCCACTTTTCAGGAAAAAAAATGGCACAAGCTCTCAACATATCCTAAAATACCTAATTTACCATTTCTGTCTGATAGTCAGTTTGCGGATGATAAGCTAAACTTTTGAGGAGACTAGTACCAAGACATTCCTAAAGTTGCTCTAAAAATAAGAGACAAAGACTGACCCTCTATCAGAGATGATGGTAAGAGGAACTCCATGCAAGGTCACAATCCGGTCAAAATAAAACTTGACATACTTCTTGGCTGAATATCTGGTATCTACCGGGAGAAAATGAGCGGACTTAGTAAGGCGATACACAATAATCCAAATAGAGTTATAGCCCTTGTACGTGCGGGGTAAACCCACAATAAAATCCATAAAAACATCTTCCCATTTCCAAACATGGATAGGCAAGGGCTGCAAAAATCCCATAATACACATATGGTCTGCCTTAACTGTAACACAGGTATTGGCCCTCCTTACCACACTTGAAACACGCGACACGTGTCAAATCCAACGGTCAAGAATTCGGTTGTTAGAAGAAGCCAAAACATAATTCTGTAACTGCATGCGAACTGTTGTTACAATTCCCCGTTGTTCAAAACTACTTTTCATATTTTAACAAAAACATGAGCCAAAATTCATCATCGGCGAACAGCCATCGCGCGCTAGGTCTGCACTCCAGCAGCACTCTCAGAACTTTTTGATGAATTCGTAGATGTGCTCGGTGACCTCCTCGGGCTTCTCGAGGTGGATGTAGTGCGCGGCGCCTGCGATGACCGCCACCTCCTCCAGCCCCGGCACGTCGTCCTTGAGCCCGCCCTTGTGTATGTACTCCTGCACCCCCGTGTAGTTGTACGACATGGCATCCTCGCCGGCGATGTACTTGGTCGGCACAGTCACCTTCGCCCCTGTCCATGGCGCCGTCAGCTCCCAGTTCCTACACCACACCACAGATTAGCTCACTTTGGGCCTGTTCGCTGCTTGGTTTTTGTGCTCGTTTAAGCTGGCTGGTGCTAATTTATTGTGAGAGAAAAATACCGTTGGCTGGCTGGTTTGGGCTGGCTGAACGGCTGTTCGTCTGAGATTGTTAATCGTCAGCGAAAGGGAATAATTGAGAGACGATGTATGTATAACCATAAAGAATTTGTTCTTACAGGTCGAGGCAGCGGTAGAAGTTCATGGCGCCGGCGAACCCGGTCTCGTCGAACTTGGCGGCGAGGCGTTCGACGTACTCCTCCGTGAGCCACGGCGGCAGCGGGATGTCCTGGTCCTGCGGTCCCCACCACTCGGGCGACAGCGAGATGGCGCCAGTGTCGCGGGTGGTGAGGAGCTTCCGGAAGATGAACCGGGTGTCCATCCGCGCGAACTCGGCCTCCATGGCGCCGGGCTCCTGCAGCCGGAGCAGGTAGTACCCGTCGCCGTAGAGGCGGCGGAACAGCTCGAGCGGCCGCACGGCCGGGTTGCGCGGCATGAAGGCGACGCTCATGTTAACGAGCGCGCGCACCCTGTCGGGGCGGAACGTGGCGAGGTGCCACGCCAGGAGCGCGCCCCAGCCCTGGCCGACGACGTACACCCGCGGAAGGGCGAGCGCTTCGAGGAGGGCCACCACGTCGCCCACGAGGTGGAAGGCCGTGTAGGAGGACGGCGACGTCGGCGCCGAGGAGTCGCCGTAGCCCCGGAGGTCAGGGGCTAGGCAGCGGTAGCCCCGCGCCGAGAGGGACCGCAGCTGGTGGTGCCACGAGTGCCACAGCTCCAGGAAGCCGTGCAGGAACAGCACCGTGCAGCCCGCCGAGCCGGAGCCGGAGCCGGCCTCGGCGACGTGGATCTTGATGCCGTTCACGTCCAGCGTCCGGTGGGTCACGCTGACGCCCTCCAACGCCGTCGTCGCCATCTCTCAAATCCTCGTCGATCGATCTCTTCTCTGCTGCTTCAGTGCCTCTCTCTGTCTTTGAGTTCGTGTCTCCCTTTCAGTCTCTGGTGGAGTACTTATATACTTACTCTCTGTCAGTCTGATTAAGCCGAACGGCGCCAACAATGACTCTGAAAACAACACTGTATTTTCTTTGTTCATTTCTTGCATCTTTGTGATTGCAGAATAGGAAGAAATTTGCCGGAATAAACAAAGAGCTTACACATCATAAACGCTAGCAATATGCTCTGCTTTGGCTGGTTGCAGGGGATGCTACAAGGGCATCTTCGATATTCTATCTATAACCAGCGCCTGTCCTCGCGTGCTGTTGGTATATCATGAGTATATATCTATCTATATCTATGTGGATGCTCTGTCTGGATCGAAAGAAGCATCTTTTCAGCTCAGATTCCACTCATCAGCTGACAACCTTCCTACTGACTGCACTGTTGATTTCCGGTATACTTTTTTAACCATTATAGATCAACATTCAAACTGTATTTTGTTTTAAGGCTCTGATAATCTGATTTCATGGAAGTGTACTCGGCTATACCAGAGCCGAGGCGAGGCTGCCTCACTCCCAGTTCCATCAACATGATGACGGTGACGGCCTACGTCGCCGTCTTCTCCTGCCTCCTCGCCGTCTCACTCAACGTCCTCCTTGGTCGCCGTCGCAGCAGCAAGAACAATGGCAGGAACAAACCACCGAGCCCTCCCTCCCTCCCCGTCCTCGGCCACCTCCACCTCCTCCGCAAGCCGGTCCACGCGGCGCTGGCGCGCCTCGCCGCGCGGCACGGCCCGGTGCTCTCCCTCCGCCTCGGCTCGCGGGACGTCGTGGTGGTCACCTCCGCGGCGCGAGCCAGGGAGTGCTTCACCGAGCACGACCTGTGCTTCGCGACCCGCCCGCGCTTCGCCGCGCTGGATCTCGTCACCTTCAGCGGCACCACGCTCCCGACGTGCGCGTACGGCGCCTACTGGCGCGACCTCCGGCGCGTGGCCACGGTGCACCTCCTGTCCGCGCGCCGCGTCGGCCGCATGATGTCCGGCCCCGTCGCCGCCGAGGTGCGCGCGGCGGCGCGGAGGATGTACCGGGCCGCCGCCACGGCCCCAGGAGGCGGCGCCGCAAGGATGGAGCTCAAGCGGAGGCTGTTCGGCCTCATCCTCGGCTCCCTGATGGAGACCATCGCGCGGCCGCGGACCAACAACAGGACGTCGACGCGCGACGAGGACGACGCTGAGGCTGACGCGGCGGATATGACGCCGGAGGCCAACGAGTTCAAGCAAACGCTCGACGTCATGGCGTCGCTGGTCGGCGCGGCCAACACGTGGGACTGTTTCCCGTTGCTGCGGCGCTTCGACGTGTTCGGGGTGAAGAGAAAGATCATGGCCGCAGTGAGGAGAAGAGACGCGTTCCTGCAGAGGCTCGTCGACGCCGAGCGGCGGAGGTTTGAGCTTGACGACGGCCGCCGCGAGGGCGAGGAGGACAGCATGATCGCCGTGCTGCTCTCGTTGCAGAAGTCAGAGCCGGAGATATACACTGACACCATGATCATGTCTCTGTGCTCGGTCAGTGCTTCCGTCTTCTTGTCATTGTAACGCTTGCGGTTTGTTCCTGACCGACATGAGCGTCGAGTCATCCTCTGCCACGCTGATTTGCAGAGCATGTTCAGTGCCGGAACGGAGACGACAACGACGGCGGCGGAATGGGCCATGTCCCTGCTGCTAAACCACCCGGATGTCCTGTGACCAGACCGAGAGAGCGATACGCGGCCATGGCACAGTAAACTGATTGCGCCTGTGCCCTATGCTGAGAAACGGAGAGGAACATTATTATTTTGGTTTTAGAATAGATAGGGATGGATGTGGATGTCTGAAGAAATTAATATCCGTATCCGTTTTAGTGTAAATTAATATATTCATATCCTATCTAAGTATGGATGTTAAATGTATGTATACGCATTCGTTTTTGAAGATTACAGTATACCCAATCTGTGATTCCACATCCGTATTCGACAAAAATATAAAATATCCGATATTATACGTATCTACGAAGTACAGATTATTTTGAAACAATTTAAATCTTATAATTATGACTAATTAACTATGTAAATAAAAATAATTTTAACATAACAAATGATATGTATCATTATTTAAAAGATATCTATGACTAATGTAACTTTAATATTATTAATGTATATGGATCTTAAGTTTAATTAATTTTATTATGGATAATCATATTAATTAGTATTTTATTTTATTTATATACTTCTAGAATTTATTTAATTATTTAATTATTGACTAAAATATTTTATTTTTGGTAGTTGTGTTTATCCACTATGTTGTATAGCTATATTTTAAATCTCTTCATCGATAATGATTTTATTATACTACAAAACTATCAATAAGCAAATAGATATATGTTATCTTCATAATCAAGTAGATACCCAAATTCAAATCTAAATTCGAGATATCCATTTTGCATTAGTATATGTATCAGTATTTAAATTCGAATTAAAATATGATAAATAGTGGTATCCAAATCCATATCCATCGGAATCCTTCCCTAAGACTAGATGTACAAGTAATTACTTTGTTTTCATGGTTAATAATTTCAGAACATAATCATGTCTATACTCATAATATATGGAATGAGCCTTAATAAGTGCCAAATGCTGCGTATGTTTGTACGGAAAATTGGCCCCGTTCGCTTGTCTGAAAAAAGAAACCAAAACACTGTTCCGGCTGATTTGTTGTGAGAGAAAAACACTGTTCCGACTGAAAAAAGAAGCCGAGTAAGCCAGATTTTAAGACGCGAACAGGGCCTATGGAGTATCGTCCAATAACTCGGCAACTGAATTTATCAGAATGGCAAGAAGGCCTACTTGTTTTAAAAAAGGTTACTATATATATATAAGCAAGTACAATAAGTAATTGCGAAGGTGACCTAATACTCCCACTTATAGTATGTATATACAATTGTACAGAGTTTTATGTCTCCCTATAAAGCTTACCGAATAAAGCCCTAAAAGGATTCCTCCTGCCATTCGTCCTTCATATTTCATACGTAAAGTTGAGATTCCAAAGACTCTTTCTAAGGTTCATTCTCTAAATCATCATTTGAAGAGTTATTTTTATAAAAAAATGTATTTTATATCTTTCTGCTCTTCAATAGCTTTTGTATATTTTTGTGCACTCTAAAGAGTCATTCTCGTTTTCTATTTTTGGCTATTAAAAAATTTGGAATAGGATATGACTATATTTAGATAACTAAGTAAAAAAAAGTTGTTGAAGGGCATTTTTTCATTAAAATCTCTGAGTTGCTCTGACATTGATATACAGACGAAGGGGGTAATTTAGGAAAGGTGACAATGAAACAGGAAAACAGGTAATGAGTGCTGAGAATCGACCTATTCAGAGATTGTTAGATCTATTTACGTGTCCATGATCCCAAGAAAGAGTCGCAGATAAGTTGTAGATGGAGATCATGTTTTCCTTACCCAATCCTCAGGAACATGGCACAGGAATATAAAGGAGACAAGTACGTGAGAGAGTCATCCCTTCATTTTTCCTTATAGGTATGCATATAGTCCTTTTATATAGATGTAGCCTTCGGGGTATATATGGTAGCCTTTAAAACATATATGGTATGAGCCTATTAATTCTCTAATTGAGGAATTCTTAACAAGGAAAAATCATGTACTCACAAAATTCCTTTTTTTTGTCATCAAGTATGGCTCGTGTAACACCAAAGTTATAATGATGCTGCCATTATAAGCCGGCTTATCAGTTATGGTATACTATTTTTCTCTCCTAATAAATTAGTTGTATAAATCAGTATAAGCGACTTATAGACCAGCCGAAGAGAGCCTTAGTGTGATGGTTGCTAGACTGACTGTCTGAGTCTTGGGTCTAAAAAAGGGTTGGATGATGGGACGGAAAAGGAAGGATGTAGGAGGTGTTTGGTTCCTTAGACTAGATTTTAGTCCCTGTCCCATCGAATGTTTGACACATGCATGGAGTATTAAATATAGATTAAAAAATAACTAATTACACAGATTGTGACTAATTTGCGAGATAAATTTTTTAAGCCTAGTTAGTCCATGATTTGATAATATGGTGCTACAGTAAATATGTGCTAATGGTGGATTAATTAGGCTTAATAGATTCATCTCGTAAATTAGTCTACTCTTGTGTAATTAGTTTTTTAATTAATTCATATTTAGTCCTCCTAGTTAGCATCCGAACGTCCGATGTGACACGGACTAAACTTTAGTCCTGCATGAACCAGGCAGGAGCTGCAAATCCACCTATAGCTTGCATTGATAACTTCCTGTTTCATTGTCACCTTTCCTAAATCTTTGAGTCTCATTGTACCTGCTGTTTTTGGACGTGTATGCTTGCTAGTATAAGATAACATATATTTATATTATAATTTTCTATAAGGAGACATTATATTATATTATAACCATTTCACAAGACAGAACATAGGGCATCATTAGTTTGATTCTTATAAATAAAAATGTAATAAAAAACATGTAAGACTTGATATCAATGTTACAATGGATTAGCCGACTAAGGAGACTGCGTGCGATCTGTCAGCATCATATATGGATGGGTCACTGCACAGACACCTTCATCTAGCTGTACTACGTACCCATTCATTCGTAGTACGTAGTAAATCGCAAAAATAAAAAGTACGTAGTATATCATCCACTGTTATTATCATTATACATAGTCAAGAGGAAAACGGACGGCAAAAAATGAATGCAATGGGAAGAAGGGATCGTCGTCTTGGAGTAGGCACCTAATGACCCAAACAAACCCGCGTCATCGCTCAAGCTGACCCGTCGGCGTCGGAATCGTCATCGTCGTCATCGTCGCCGGACGATGGCGCCGGGGCGCTGGACGACCCACCATCAGACGACGGCCCTGGTGCGCCGGAGGACTCAGACGACGTTGGCGCTGGTGCACCAGAGGGCCCGGATGACGCCGCCGCCGCCGCCGGAGCATCAGCAGCAGCCGGCCCGCTGGCTGCACTGCCGTCGTACGCCGGCGCGTCACCACTAGACGACGGGCCGCTGGCGGCGCTGGCAGCAGGGCCCTCGGAGCCGGCGGGGGCGTCCGCGGGCGCCGCCGCGCCGTAGGACGGCGCCCCGGCGTCGGAGGGCGGCAGGGCGATGCCCGCGGACATGGACCCAGATGCCTCGGTGATGAGGTCCAGCGTGACGCGCTGCAGCTTCTCGAAGTCGAGGCTGAAGTTGACGACGTCGTCCTTGTCGCCGCTTTTGGGCGCGTCCTTGCAGGCGTCCTCGCAGGTGGAGGTGCCCCCGAGCGTGGAGGAGAGCCACGACTTGAGCTCCAGGAACTTGGCGTCCGTGGGCTCCCGGACCAGCCCGTTGAGGTGCGCCACCGCCTCCTCCACGTCGTCGGAGCAGCTGTCGTAGCACTTGAACAGGCCGGCGTTGTCCTTCGCGGCGTTGTACTTGCCGTGCACGAACGTGGCCATCCCGGACCCCTTCTCCGCCGCGATGTTCACGAACAGCTCCGCCAGCTTCCGCGGGGTCGCCTTCTGGCTCTCCGGCTTCGCCGCGAGGCTGTCCACGCAGATCTTGGGGAACTGCGTCTTGCTGCACGCGTCCTGCACGGTGTCGCCCACGCCCGTGCGGCGGCCGCGGCGGAGACGAGGACGGAGACGAGGAGCAGAGGCGCGACGACGACGACGGAGACAGAGCGAGCCATGGCGATCGCTGGCTGTTCGCGTTTCTCTCCCGGTGTGATTGACTACGAATTGAAGGGTGGTGAATGCATGGGCTATATATGTGTGTGCTTTGTGAGCTCAAGGCGTCGAGGGGCCAAACGACGCCCTTGCGTGTATGGCATACCGCCGTTTTAGGAGAAAGACGACAAGTGGAACGTGCCGTCCGCAACACATGCTGAGCCTTCCATGTGCCATCTACGACAGGTGTCCCCGGTTTCTTGGGTGGTTATGTGTGGCTCAAATTCTTGTTTCGACAGTTTTTCTCTTCTTTATTTACTTATACATCGACATTGCCAAATTTGTGCCACGTACGATAGAGTGTGAGAGACAACGGAGTAGTAAATACTCCATATATAGGAATTGCTTGTGCTTGCACGTACATTCATCTTAGTCCCATGATTATATTTCTCCAGCAGATATAGTCGTGACTAAAATACTGAATTAAGACCATTTCTCCCTACTTCTCGCTATGTCCGGAATTTACAATAAAAATAAAAAGAATCATGTACTGAATTTACACTAAATAAAAAGAAGATAAGTAACAATGTACTTTGCTATGCATGGATACCTCATCAATATATTTATGTATCGGATTTGATGAGGCTGCCCCCAAACATCACGCATATGGCAAGGAGATGATGATCGCATCGTCCCTTCCGCCGCCGACCAAAATCTGAACGGCAACTTGCCACCTTCGTCATGTGCTCCGATCTCACGGGACTTCCTGTTATTGAGCGAAGCATCGCGACAAAAAGGTGACAAAGAGAGGGTATGGATTCCCATTTGATTCCACATCATGAGACTTCAAGCACACGGTGGCAGTGAAGGGTTTTCCCTT